TGTTTTGAAGTTTGTACGCGTTTTGTCTCTAGGGGCCACCGTATATATTTATATATAAACATATACAAATAAAACCACTTTTTTTTGGCACATTAGTAATTCCTTTTGTGCATAATTTTATATTATTGTTAATAATAAATTAATGAAAGCAACAAAACAACCTGAAGAGCCGGTTCGGAGCCGGCTCACTAAAAAGAGCCAGAAATCCCATCACTAAACCAGACATGTCTACTTTTTAATGCACAGGTACGATACAAAGTCTGCCTTTTGCTAATTATTCTAAATATTCCTAACTATTTAAACATTTTTCAGTATCCTGCACTGTTTGTACTCTAATTTTAACAACTGTGCTGTACTCTGCTTTGGTAACTATTGTCCATGATGTAAAAATGTAAAAATCATGTTTCTGTTCTGTGTCCTGTTCTGATGTCATATCCACCCAGAAATCTCGAGTTCATCATTTTGCCCTTCCACAATCATTTGAATTAAAAATTAAAACAGCAGGAATGTTAAAATTAATAATAAAAGGAATTTGTTGGCTTTTTCAAAAGGTACAAATAAAATATTGTTGATAGACCTGCCCCCTTTATTATCTACAAAATAAAACATTAAGCCTTGATCTGTTCTGTTATTCTTCTTTTCAAAAGAAAAACATTTCTAGCCTTCCAGTGTCTAAAAAATTAAAAACAAACACAAATATAAGATTATTAGAATTTTTAAAAAATAAATACTTAACATTGGAAAATACTCTGTTAACTACGGCACAGAACTTAGCAAAATGTCATTAAAAATTATAAATACTGAATGTCATTCTTTTTCATTTATAAACTACAATCTGTCATATTTTCGAAGAAACTGAACATAGGAACAGTACATTTTGTTTAAATTATTCACACTGCTTTTTTTTAAATCTGTACAATTTGCTTCCCCTTTATTTTAACATTAACTTTGACTATTGCCTCTAGTTCATCATCATCATTTATTTATTTATATAGCACTTTAAAAACACACCTGGTAGACCAAAGTGCTGTACAATACTAATATGCACATAGTAATAAAACCAGACATAGCAATAAAGTTAAAAAACAATAAAAAAAATGAAAAAAATAATAATAATAAAAAAAAATAAAAATGTCAGTTACCTTATCAAAGGGACTCCACAGCTCACTGTCAATGTACAGGCTTTGTCCATTCTCCAGCAAAACCTCCAGCTGGCTTGGCATTTCTGTTGTGGCCACAACAATGATGATATATAATATTATGTCAAATCTGAAAACCTATTTCTAAACATTTGTTTACAATCCTTGTAAATGCTGTGCTGTGCAGCTGTAAGTCATACGAGGACTGGCTCCACTTCATGTGGGAGAGGCTGATGTGGTCTCCCACGTTCAAGTTGTAAACGGCTGCCTCCCTCCAGAGGCAGACTGTCATGGTATAACTATCCTGAAATCACAAACATGCTCCAAACCTCTCAGACTTCTTCTGCTGTAAATGGCTCTGGTGGACTTTGTCAAAATAGTTTGCAGAAACGGAAGAAAATGAAGTCTCTGCATCGAACACGAGCTGGAAGAGGAGGATGTGTAACCTCTGGAAGTTGACCAAAGAGAGCAGGTGAGAAGCTAATCAGAGTTCAGAGGTTAAAGGTCAATCGGAGTCTGACAGGACGATGATTTCGTCTGGTGTCGCCACGTTGACCTGAAAACACACAAACAGCAGCATAACAAAGTATTTACTCTTCTGGAGAAACACTGAGTATCAGCAGAATAAAAACTTCTGTTTAAAAACATGTTGATGCTGCTGACAGATGTACCGGTGTGTCCACATCACATGACCAATTTAAGGTGACGTGATTAACTTTCTTCCTCTGCTTTATAAGTGTTGCGGCTCAACCAACCAATGGCCGCGGCAGGCTAAACATGAGGACACAGATGACGCGCAACAATAAACGCATAAAATACACTTCTGTACCATTTGCTCCTTTTATTCCACATGCAACTGTCCAATATATAAATCAGCACATGGGATTAACTATTAAACAAATGCACAGACTGCACAAACAAATAACTGCAACTCTCCAATAACTGCACTAACTACTATGTCAAATTACAACCTGGTCTATGGCATCAATTAGTGCACAAATATACAAAAACCATCAAGTTCCAGTTAAAATACATCAAAATCATTCAAGCTGCGCTCAAGCTGCGGTCAACAGAAAGTTTTTCCTCATGCTCACCCTACCTTTCTGCTCATCAACATCAGGTGCTGTGAACAGGTGAGTGCAACCACATTTATCATCTACCACACCCATGAGACACGCCCTACACCTGTGCACTACAATATATCCAAGGTTTGTCAAGGATTTCAAGCACCTGTACGAAACCTGCATATGAAGTTGATGATTGTTAAAATAAAATAGAACATTTTCATCAATTTCTTGTTTGCTCCGAAATCTACGACATGGCTATATACAGAAAAGCTCGACACGTTATGCAAAAGAAAAAAAATACACGAACAAAAATTCTCGTAATTGTCAGTTTCGTAATTTCAAAATTCTCCAAAACTAACATTTTCTTTGATTGACTCATATTAAATTGCCTATGGTCAAATTTAGTGTGAACAATATTACACAAACAAACGTGTGTGTGCGCCTGTGCATACATTAGAATCACTTTGATCCCTTGTGACGCGGTAGCTTTGCTTTGATCCCAAAACCCATAATACGAGCGCTCACCCATCATACTTTATGGCATAACGGACGTTGACCTGACACCAACCCAAACCCTTTCGAGATGTTTTCAGAGCATTTTACAAAAGAAACCAAAACAAGTTCAGTTTTGTTTCTAACCAATTCACAGACAGATCGTGGCTATTAAAGTCAACAAGAGCGACCCTGAAATTCTGCAACAGGCAAAACTGACCAAAGACCAATTTCAATACAAGACAGATTATCAATCCAAGGAAACTCGATATATAAAACCAAAGTGTTTCGATGACCTCGAACAATGACCTTTTATGTTGTTCTTTCAGTTTTTCTCCTGAGATGAGGTATGAAGTGTCTGTGGTGCAGCTGATCACAGAGCGCCCCCTGCGGGGGCGCAGTATGAATTAAAAAGAAGATTGCTTGGACACTGCTAGCATAATGGACAGGCTTTTTGACGGTTCTTCCAAACAAACGCAAAGGAGAAGATGAAGCATTGCCAAATATTCTTCCAAGCCAAAGACTAGAAAATATGATGAAGCATATCTTGCCTTTGGCTTCACCTGCACAACGGTGGTGCCAAGGTAGGCCTCCCCGACAGAATTTGTTTTCCCAGCGTCGGGAGCACGTGTTGGGCTGTCCAAATCACGGATAAACAGCATCCCACAGCTGTTCATGTTTAAACCCATTTTGCACAGAGAGGCATTTTTTGAAAAATGGCTTTATAGAATATTCTTAGACAGTAAAAACAAAACTACACAAAATAATTGTCACAGGCTGGGTCTCTGACCCAGCGCACTGAGTATAATTTGGTATTCGTCTCATGTTAGCTTTGTGATAGTTCATGTATTATTTCTATTTAGTTTTTAGTCCACACTGTCGTTTTCAGTCATTTTCACAGAGTTGTGCGTCCACATTGAAACGGCTGAAAACGCTTATGTTCCAGTACTGCACATGTGTGAAACCCAAGACGATTCGACCTGCCTCATTTCTGTCTGTTTGTTCCCAAACTTTTTTTTGCTAAAAATCAGCAAATATAGATTATAGGCTGCAGTCTTCTATAATATTTAATACAGCTAAATCAGGTGGTATATTCAGATCCCAATGTGTACTTTTATTTTATTTGTGTGACGCTGACTGATCCGTTAGGACAAATATGGTCACGCTGCAGACACTATGAGTGAAAAATGCTTCAAGGAAATGAAAGCAACAATAACGCTCTTCCTGACTTTACGCTTGCTCACACGATAAGGAATGTCAACTATTTTCACTTTTTAAAATGAGACATAAGATAGACCATCAGATAACTCCTTGTGCCGCGATGATTACTACTGCTACTGCTTTTATCTGCAAATATTTCGCAAGTAAGTCTGAACTAATTGTACTTTAACAGCACTGTTAGTGCCATCGTTACAAACACTAGCCTTCAAAGGATACAGTTTTCAAAACGAACGACTAACTTGAGGCTAGCCGTTCTTCATCGTTTTAGCTACACAATAAACTCATGCTAACTAACAT